CTTGGGGCGATCCTCCTCCGAGTCCAGGGCGCTAGCCTGCACGAAGGCGAGCGCCATCAGCACCACCGCCAGCACGCGCGCCATCGCTGGGCTGAGTGCACGGCAAGGAGGGTCGTTGATGTAGCAGCGGAATGGAGTGGCTGGCAAGCACCTGGGCCAAAAACAGCCACGGACCGTTACCCGTCTCTTTGAAGCAAGCTGAGGCCAGAGGACGAGATGGGAGCAGGGGCAAGGAAGGCAGCAGCAGGAAGGATTTACAGCAGGAGCAAGAGCAGTAGCAGGATGTACAGGAGAATCAGCAGGAGCTGAGTCGCAGAGAGACATTAGCTTGCCTGCTGGCCCAACTCCATTCGAAGTCCGTCCTATGCCCAGGTCGGACTTCGTTTTCGAGCCGCCTCCGGCTGTGGCGACTCAAGAGGGGCGGCACAGAGCTCCCATCCACCCCAAAAAACGCCCATAGGAGCAAGCATGGCACTGGGACGCTGTTCGAGGGCGTAGGCTGTTGAGTGCGCTTCCGCTTCCAATCCCCTTCTTCCCAATTCGGGGAGGGGCCCACACCCTCTATCTACCCTCCTCCCATTGGTACGGCCGGGGGGGGCTGCGAGAGTTCATGTAGGGCGTCTAAGGTGGCCCAAGATGGCTCCAAGATGGCGTCAGGTAGCTCAAGATGCCCTGCCATTGATGGCACAAGGTAGCCGAAGATGGCTCACATGGCTCCCAGCATGACTCCCAAAGGCCCCAAGAGTGCCCCAAGACGGCTCCGAGTGGCCACGGTACCTCCATAGGGGACCACCGAGTGCCAACAGTCAGACCATTTTGGCGACTCGATGGCGTTGGCCTTCTCGCTGGTTCGCTCCCAACGCACGTTCGGGGCGTCTTGATACGGCCCCAGGAACCGCCCACGAACGTCCCCAAGAGTGCCCCCGAGGCGATACTTCGGGCCTGCACGGGGCTAGGCGAATCGGGTACGCACCAACCCTCCGCTCAAAGCCAAAACCATTGAAAGGCGTAAGGCATTGGAAGGAGACTGGCATATCGAGGACAACACTGGGGAACTGTAGCACAAAATGCATCAAGATGTTCGAACATGTTTCCAGCATTGCGCAGGGTGGCCCAAGCTGGCGTGAACTAGCCTCCAACATATCTCCAAGAATTCCACGGGCAAGATGGGCCCACGATCGCCCAAGAGAACCCGAAGAGGGGATCAGAGGGGCCCTAAAACAATTGAGGCGCACGGTCGGACTCCAGAGGTGCACTGGCGGACTCATACATACGGGCCTCAGGATGGCCCCAAAGACTGCCAAAAGGGCTCCAGGGACCCCCCAAGAGGGCTCCGAAAGCTCCCCAGATGGCCTCAAGAGGCACCAGGATGGCTCCAAGGAACCTCCAGGAAGCATCCAGAGCGACAGATTCGCAAAGGCCTTTCTGCTTGACCCATGTCGTCGTCGTCATCGTCGTCGTCATTGTCATCGTCGTCGTCGTATTCTTCCTCCCCTCAATCATCTGTTCCTCCTCCACCACCACATCCTCGTCCTCCTCCTCCTCCCACCTCCTCCCACATCTTCCTCCACCTCAATCTCCTCATCATCATCACCATCCTCCTGTTACTCGTTCACCTCCTCCGCCTACTCATCCCACTCATCCAAATCTCGCCTGGGGCTCACCAAAATGTTGTTGGAAAACGTGTTCCGTCACATTCCGATTCCGTCTTCTCGCCCTCATCCGTACCTCATCATCATCATCATCATCATCATCATCATCATCATCATCATCATCATCATCATCATCATCATCATCATGACCATCACAATCAGCAGCATCATCATCACAATCAGCAACATCATCATCACCATCAGCAACATCATCAGCATCATCAGCATTATCATCAGCATCATCAGCATCAGCAGCAGCAGCATCATCATCATATCATCATCATCATCATCATCATCATCATCATCATCATCATCATCATCATCATCATCATCATCATCATCATCATCATCATCATCATCATCATCATCATCATCATCATCATCATCTTCGTTCCGAAGAGCCGCCAGATCATATAATATAGTATTGCTTAGTCTGTAGAAGAACGTTGCACTGCATGCTACATGATCCGACACTTCACAGATGAGGGCAAGTCGCCTGGCAATCGTTTCTGGATGGACTGTCGGGGATACGCGGAGAGTCAGGAATTACGAGAAGCTCAATCGTTCAAGACAGGAACGTCTTCCGGTGGGTCCCCATGGCCAGAGACATCGGCGGAGGAGGAGGTGAGGGCTGGCCTCGAAAGGGAGTCCCGGGCCCAGGCGGCCGCCCCCCTCGTGTGTTTCCCCGGCCGAGACCACCGCTTACTGAGAGCATTGCAGCCCTCCTCTGCCGAAGGGGGAAGGCCTCGGGGTGCGGCGCCCCGGCGACCCGACCAGGCGCTCACCACTTGCGCTCCCACGTGGCGCCGTTCTCGAACCTGACGCTCGCCCCCAGCACGGTGCCCTCGGGGAAGGGCGGCTCCATCAGCACCTTGGCGCCCCTGACCACGCCGCGCTTCTCGACCGTCGCACCGCTCCTGGTCTTCAGGGCGAAGGTGATGGAGCAGTGGTCCTGCTTCACCTGGAACAGCTCGCCGTGCGCGTCCGAGAACCACCGGTCGCCACCGAGCTGGGCGCAGCCGAACTTGGCCACGTCCTCCTCGGTCTGCGAGGCGAGCGCGCGCTCCCGGGCCCGCCTGCGGGCGCCCTTGGGGCGATCCTCCTCCGAGTCCAGGGCGCTAGCCTGCACGAAGGCGAGCGCCATCAGCACCACCGCCAGCACCCGCGCCATCGCTGGGCTGAGTGCACGGCAAGGAGGGTCGTTGATGTAGCAGCGGAATGGAGTGGCTGGCAAGCACCTGGGCCAAAAACAGCCACGGACCGTTATCCCTTTCTTTGAAGCAAGCTGAGGCCAGAGGACGAGATGGGAGCAGGGGCAAGGAAGGCAGCAGCAGGAAGGATTTACAGCAGGAGCAAGAGCAGTAGCAGGATGTACAGGAGAATCAGCAGGAGCTGAGTCGCAGAGAGACATTAGCTTGCCTGCTGGCCCAACTCCATTCGAAGTCCGTCCTATGCCCAGGTCGGACTTCGTTTTCGAGCCGCCTCCGGCTGTGGCGACTCAAGAGGGGCGGCACAGAGCCCCCATCCACCCCAAAAAACGCCCACAGGAGCAAGCATGGCACTGGGACGCTGTTCGAGGGCGTAGGCTGTTGAGTGCGCTTCCGCTTCCAATCCCCTTCTTCCCCATTCGGGGAGGGGCCCACACCCTCTATCTACCCTCCTCCCATTGGTACGGACGGGGGGGGGGGGCTGCGAGAGTTCATGTAGGGCGTCTAAGGTGGCCCAAGATGGTTCCAAGATGGCGTCAGGTAGCTCAAGATGCCCTGCCATTGATGGCACAAGGTAGCCGAAGATGGCTCACATGGCTCCCAGCATGACTCCCAAAGGCCCCAAGAGTGCCCCAAGACGGCTCCGAGTGGCCACGGTACCTCCATAGGAGACCACCGAGAGGCAACAGTCAGACCATTTTGGCGATTCGATGGCGTTGGCCTTCTCGCTGGTTCGCTCCCAACGCACGTTCGGGGCGTCTTGATACGGCCCCAAAACCGCCCACGAACGTCCCCAAGAGTGCCCCCGAGGCGATACTTCGGGCCTGCACGGGGCTAGGCGAATCAAGTACGCACCAACCCTCCGCTCAAAGCCAAAACCATTGAAAGGCGTAAGGCATTGGAAGGAGACTGGCATATCGGGGACAACACTGGGGAACTGTATCACAACATGCATCAGGATCTTCGAGAATGTTTCCAGCATTGCGCGGGGTGGCACAAGCTGGCGTGAACTAGCCTCCAACATATCTCCAAGAATTCCACGGGCAAGATGGGCCCACGATCGCCCAAGAGAGCCCGAAGAGGGGATCAGAGGGGCCCCAAGACAACCCCAAGGACGCCCAAGAGCGCCCAACGAGCGTCTCCAGAGGCGCACGGTCGGACTCCAGAGGTGCACTGTCGGACTCATACGGGCCTCAAGATGGCCTCAAAGACTGCCAAAAGGGCTCCAGGGACCCCCCAAGAGGGCTCCGAAAGCTCCCCAGATGGCCTCAAGAGGCACCAGGATGGCTCCAAGAAACCTCCAGGAAGCATCCAGAGCGACAGATTCGCAAAGGCCTTTCTGCTTGACCCATGTCGTCGTCGTCGTCATCGTCGTCGTCATCGTCATCGTCGTATTCTTCCTCCCCTCAATCATCTGTTCCTCCTCCACCACCACCTCCTCCTCCTCTCACCTCCTCCCACATCTTCCTCCACCTCCTCATCCGCATCATCATGTTCCTCCTGTTACTCGTTCACCTCCTCCGCCTACTCATCCCACTCATCCAAATCTCGCCTGGGGCTCACCAAAATGTTGTTGGAAAACGTGTTCCGTCACATTCCGATTCCGTCTTCTCGCCCTCATCCGTACCTCATCATCATCATCATCATCATCATCATCATCATCATCATCATCATCATCATCATCATCATCATCATCATGACCATCACAATCAGCAGCATCATCATCACAATCAGCAACATCATCATCACCATCAGCATCATCAGCATTATCATCAGCATCATCAGCATCAGCAGCAGCAGCATCATCATTATCATCATCATCATCATCATCATCATCTTCGTTCCGAAGAGCCGCCAGATCATATAATATAGTATTGCTTAGTCTGTAGAAGAGTGTTGCACTGCATGCTACATGATCCGACACTTCACAGATGAGGGCAAGTCGCCTGGCAATCGTTTCTGGATGGACTGTCGGGGATACGCGGAGAGTCAGGAATTACGAGAAGCTCAATCGTTCAAGACAGGAACGTCTTCCGGTGGGTCCCCATGGCCAGAGACATCGGCGGAGGAGGAGGTGAGGGCTGGCCTCGAAAGGGAGTCCCGGGCCCAGGCGGCCGCCCCCCTCGTGTGTTTCCCCGGCCGAGACCACCGCTTACTGAGAGCATTGCAGCCCTCCTCTGCCGAAGGGGGAAGGCCTCGGGGTGCGGCGCCCCGGCGACCCGACCAGGCGCTCACCACTTGCGCTCCCACGTGGCGCCGTTCTCGAACCTGACGCTCGCCCCCAGCACGGTGCCCTCGGGGAAGGGCGGCTCCATCAGCACCTTGGCGCCCCTGACCACGCCGCGCTTCTCGACCGTCGCACCGCTCCTGGTCTTCAGGGCGAAGGTGATGGAGCAGTGGTCCTGCTTCACCTGGAACAGCTCGCCGTGCGCGTCCGAGAACCACCGGTCGCCACCGAGCTGGGCGCAGCCGAACTTGGCCACGTCCTCCTCGGTCTGCGAGGCGAGCGCGCGCTCCCGGGCCCGCCTGCGGGCGCCCTTGGGGCGATCCTCCTCCGAGTCCAGGGCGCTAGCCTGCACGAAGGCGAGCGCCATCAGCACCACCGCCAGCACGCGCGCCATCGCTTGGCTGAGTGCACGGCAAGGAGGGTCGTTGATGTAGCAGCGGGATGGAGTGGCTGGCAAGCACCTGCGCCAAAACAGCCACGGACCGTTACCCGTCTCCTTGAAGCAAGCTGAGGCCAGAGGACGAGATGGGAGCAAGATCCCGAGAGGGCTCCAAAACGATTCCGAGAAACTTCCGGGGGCTTGCCGAGCGTAAAGATCCCGCAAAACTGACGAGCCGCAAAAAGACGCACGCGCAGAAATACTCACACGAATTGCAAACCCGTGAGCGGGCCATGCAGCGCAAGGGAACGATGATCGGATCATATCATACAGCTCGTTGTCGTGACTGCCACCGTCCCCCTAAAACTTTCCTTCGGCTCGAGCTTATCATCCTCCATGTTCTCTCCCCTCCTCATCCTCATCCTCCTCCTACTCCTCTGTTGCCTCCTCCTCATCCTCCTTATCCCCGCTCTTCCCCGCGAGCCACAAACGAGCTTAGTGCTGGCAGTATTGAAATTATGCGGGGGTCCTCTCGGGCCTGTTGTGCCCCCTCGTCCTCAACTCGGAATTCCAGTATGATGCGTGTGTGCAAACTGTGTGGCGCAAACGATGCGGTGGATTCTACTTACTCATCTCCAGCGGTAAGGAACTGCTTGCCCTCTTGCAGCTTAAGTGGGGCTGTCTGAGGTCCGCCTGGATCGTCTTCGGGGCCAGAGGAAGCCCCAAAAGGCCCAACTAGGGCCTAATATAATAGGGCCCTCAAGGGAGCCCCAACGATACTACACCAGGGGCTCTTGGTACGACGCTGCTGGTGGCCCTTTGGGGCCCCTCTGGAAACTCTGCCAGGTCATTCTCGAAGCTCTCGTGAGGCTGTCTGGGGCCCTCTCAGCTAAGATGTGGGGCCAGCCGAAGGCGTTTGGAAAGCCTCCGAGGAGGCCCCGACGATGTCATACCAGGGGCCCCTGGAATGATGAATCTACAGCGGAGGCCAGTCCACAAGAAACCTTCCACAAGAAACGCAACCCTGAGACCCCAAGACGTCCATCGATTTCTTGTGTGGGAACGTCACGCTTTACGCTTTTCCATAGCAGAGCCATGGACACCCGAGAAACCCAGGGCACCCTGGAGGCGGGGGAGCTCACCGGGATGCGACCTCTCACCCCGGAAGTCATAATGATGTCGTTGGCGGATCGCCAGACTGGAATACTATCTCGGATCAGGCTTTTGAAGCTTACTAATATCATGGCGTCCGCCCGCGGGCCCGACTGGATACGATGATCTCTAGGCTGACACTGGCATCCATGAATCATCTGTCTACAGGAGCCCCCCTTAAGGCTATCTTCGCTTCGGCGCGACAGACCGACATTCAGCGTGCTCGGGATGTGCCTCCATTGAGTCCCGTGCATGGAATAGCGCGGCACTCCTGCCTCTGTCAGGTCTGTCACCGGTGAGTACAATGATTCTGGGCACTCAATGCCTGGGTTACTGTGCCCGTTGCTGGGCCTCAAATTGTAAGTCGGGCAGGTTTACCCGCGGAGGCCGGTTCTTGTGCACACCAGTGCTGCGGCCGATCATCTCGCACATCTTCAGCACTGCCAGTGCTTAGCATGCCCAACGCTTGGACTTGAGGCATTGCTTGACGACGCCCAGGCGTGTCTTACGATAGTGCCCGCAGCCTTCCGGTGGCCGAATTGCCGCTTCATCGCTGCGGCATACCCAACCATCGAACTCGTCATACGAGACAACCGCACCCGTGAACCTACACGGAAGGCCGTCGTTATGAGAAGGCCTGTGCCAGGTGGCTGCAGTGAGCCACTCCGAGCAGCAGCGCTGTTCATTCTCCTTCGGTAACCGCGTTGGCTGGTACTCTTTCTGCGGAGCGCCGCCGTCAGTGCTTCAGCTTCGCCGCTGCGGGGACTGGTTCTTTGCGCAGTAGGTTGCGGACGCGACGGCGTTCGACAGCTACCTCGATCACGCACGTTGCCGCGCGCGCAGGGTGAGCACTGTGCCACTCTGCGTCGGCTCGAACCATCATCGGCGGCACCGTTCTATGACGGTGTGACCAGCATCTGATATGGAGTGCCATGTGTCTCCCAGCAAAGCCCGCCCCCCTCTTCCATTTCAGCGAAGTTAACAAGTTGCCCCGCAGATGCAGATGCAGCGGGCGCCGCCGCCGAAGCCGACGCGGCAGCGGGCTCGGCGGGTGACCCCGCATTTCCAGATGGGCCCCTCTCCTTTTCGCGGATGTCCTTGCACTGGCGCCCGCTCACTTTCGGAGCTCCCGGCGCCTTGGATGCGGTCTGGAGTGCGTTATTTTCCGCATCGGGCTGCGAAGCATGATGCACTGTTGAACCGAGGGCCACGGCGAGTCCGGCCAAAATCGGCGCCGCGCGCCGCGACGGGCCCCATCGGTTCGGGCGCGCTGCTGCCCCGGAACGCCGCCGCCGCGGCTGTCGCAGCTGGCCCCCCAGAAAGCGTTCCACTGGCAGGTTTCCCCGCGGGCCCCCCGTCAGATCGCTTCGCCCTGCCCCTTCCAGGGTTGGCCTCTGCCGAAATGGCTCGCTTCTTCTATCTAGGTGACCTCTGCAAGTTTGAAGATGGAGATATATCCACAGCCTTCGGAGGGCGCCCCAGGGGCCCCGGGCGCTCGCCTGGTTTCCCAGCGGGCCCCCCCGCATCAGCGGGCGCAGCAGGTTTCACCCGCGCCCTCGCGCGAAAAGCAGTCTGGCGGAGGCCCCCGCGCGAATCGGTAAATCCTCAGATTCTCGATCTCGGCATTCTTTTTGCAATCGAAATCAGATATTCCATTGGGCAACTTGCCGCGCACTGCAGTAACTATCCATCCAATGCCTTTGCTGAGATGCACCACTGCGTCGCCCCATTCCAAGAGCGTATCCTCCGTGACTTGCGCATTGATGTCTCTAGCTGCATCAGTGTCTTCGTCAGCATAGGACTCGTTGTCGCATGCAGACGCACACGCAGGGACAGCGGGATCAACGGCCCGCGCGAGACGGGGCGCCTCGTCTTCCCTGTCAGCCGCAGCTGGCGGACAACCCCGCTAGTCGCGGCCCTCCCTGACACCTTTGCGAGAAGATGCAGGTTCCCCCGCAAAAGGAGGGCGCTGGCGCGTCAAGTCGGGCCTCGCGGCACGCCCGATTGCAACGCGAAAGCTGGCGCGCTCGCGTCCACGGACCTACACTCGGCGCGTCTTCTGATCCGCAAAGGCAGCCCTTGTGTTGGCCTTCCTTTCCAGCGTTTCAGCTGTCTCGGTGCCGCCCCTGCCGCTGAAACGGATGATCTCTGGTTTTTGGGCCCCCCTGCGCAGACCGCAATGACCGATCACGGCGGACTCGACGCCCAGCCCTGCGCCCGCCAGCGGCTCATATAGTCGCCTGGTACCTGTTGGCGAGCAAACCCGTCGCCCTGTTCACCAACTGCTCTGAATCGAGGCTGGCCTTCGGGCTAGTCTGAGCCCTCGTCGCCCTGATGCGGGTGGCCCCGCGACCATGCCCTTCTGGGCGATCCTCTCGGAGCTCGCGGACGCGGGCGCCGCGCGCCGCTTGAGCGGGCACGCGAGCACCTGCGCGAACGACTCCGCTGGCGATGGCATGGCGGATTTTGCCCCCAGCTGCCCGCCCCCCCCCCCCCCCCCATCATCATCCTTAGCGCGCCTCGCGCGCCCCCAGGCCTTGCGGCTCGAAGGGCGGCCATGTAGTACAAGGATGAAGTGAGAGCGTTCGCTGTGTCCGAGCTCGTACTGGACCCGTTCAGAATGGTCACCAGTGTCGCGCGGGTTACCCCGCAAAGAACCGCTGTCGCAAGTTACCCTGCGCGCGGGGCCCCCAGTCACCTGCGGTCGGAGCGACAATTGGAAGTCCCAGAACGGTGCGATGAGGGCGCGGCGCGGCGAGTTCGGCGCGCGCTGGATGGTTCAGTCGTTCGCGCAGCTTGGGCCCCAGTGGTCGCATGTAGCGCGGGGCGCAGGCGCCTTGCGCTTGGCCCTGCGCGCGCGTCTTGTCTGGGCCGCGGCGCCCTGCTTAACGCGCGAAATTGTCGCCCGAGCTGCGCGCGTGGTTTTGTCTTTTTCGGTGTTTGATGCAGTTGTGCGGCGACATCTTGGACGAGGCCGTCGCAAGTATGCTGGCGCGCGTTGTGAGAGCACCCTGGCGCTCATCCTGGGGCGCCCTCCGCTGGGCGGTTGGACGCAGCGTAGGTCCGCGGAGCAAGCAAACCTGTCGTGTTTCCTATCTCCCTCGCCCCTCCTCTCATCCCCCATCCCTCCCCCCCCCTCCCTTCCACCCCCCCCGCCCCCCCCCCCCCCTCGCCCGGTTTCCTCCGCTTCGGCGCCCCCCCCCCCCCTGAGAGCAGAGCGAGCAGCATGGAGTGGCAGCGTCGGTGGCCAGAAAGGCAACTCGACGAGGCGCGCGCCCCGCGAGGGCGAATGCCCCCGTCGCGGCGCGCCCAGTCGGTCGCTCAGTCGCCCCGTTTGGCCCCGCCACCTCCTTGGAGGTGGCCCTAGGCCGCCGCGGGAGTTTGCCCCGCGCCCCTGGTTCCGCCGGCGCGGAATCCTTAAACAAAAATTGAGACGGGCCACCGCCTGGTTTGGGGACTCAAGCGTCGTTTGGATGATGTCTCGGGCGTCGGTGGGTTGACGAATCACAAGACTGCGCGGTGATCCCCTGTCCCAAAACGGCGCGGCGGCATCTCCGGGATTTCGCGGCCGCCCTGCCCCGGCCCCCGCCCTGGCCAGCGCCCGCCTCGCCCATCGCGGTTAGCAGGCGCCGCCGCGCTCCGCGTCGCTGACACCCCTGGGTCGGAGTCGGGTCAACACGGCGCGGCCCCCCGACGGGAGCTACCGGCTGAAACTGAGGCGGCATTCTCACATGCTCCAGCACGTTGAATACGCCACGCTGCAAGTGC